TAACTTAGCTTCGCTTTATGGTTATTATACATTATAATGTACCATATATACATATAATAAGATAGTTAATTATCCGTAAAAATTTGACGGAAATTCAACAATTTTTATTTTAAAATTTTAATTCATATATGAAAATTTTCGTGTTTCTTCTAATTAAATAATTGAATGTTCTTCAATTAAAGAATATTTTAAAACTATTTATCTATCCATTATAGTAAATGAATACAACAGCAATTGATATGTCGTTCAACAGATCAAATTATGAAACTTCTGTAATTTCCAGCTTAATGTAGCCGAATTTTGTTAGAAAAAAAATCAAAGGACCCAATAAGCTTACCAACAAAGATTATTTTTAGGGTCGTGACTTGTATTACTAATCATTGGCAATTAGGTAGATACTCTCTTGGGTTGAGAGCTTTCTTTAGAAATGTATTAGTTGTATCTTCTTAGCCTACAAAGAAAGAATATCTCCTCGATTTTAACTAATATAAGCGTATATTGGCTATTTGGTTGACAGGCTTTGCGATAGCTTGTCTTTCTCCTATCGAGGTGGTAATATTTTTTGTTGCGAATATTGTATAAGTTGTGAAGAAAAGCAAAATAATGGAACACTTAATGTGCAGCTAACAGCTTAAACCAAAATCAGAGTAAAATTTTTAAGCTTTTATGTCGTTAGTTTGATTAGATCAGAGTGGGAATGTTGCGCCCAAAGGCCAGAAAACCAGAATGATTTCCGAAAGAATAGCAGTGATCAGTACATGAACAACGCCAAAAGGCACGATTCCCTTGTTTACCTAAAAGTGAACCAAACTTGGCAAATTTGTTAATTTTATAGGATGACAGCTTGTCAGATCAATTGACAGTTTGTAAAAAAATGACCGTAAAAGTTTTGAATCCTGTTTTTGAATCCAATAATAGACACTGACACATGAAATGGAGTGCAGCTTCTTCTTCATCAGCAGAGTCACTACCACATCAACAATCATTATAGGTTAGCCCCACCCTCATACCATTGTTTGTAGTAATTAGTGATTTATCAGTACCAATACCATAGTGCTGAGTACGTTACGCCTTAGTTGAAGCAGCTGACTGGTATGTTTCTTGTTCAATTTGAACCAATACAAAATCTTATTAACTGGTACGAGGATTCATCTGCCTAAGTTTGTTTACTTTTACTCAGGTAATTTTGTCTGATTGATCTTTTTTTTTGCAAGTGGTTGGCCAATCTCTTAGTTTAAAAACTCATTGCTCTTTATTGCGTATTCGAAATAGCTTCACAAGTAAGAACCAATAAGATCTCGTGTTAAGCAGTGATATCACAAGGGATACAATCGGTCCTTAAACTTGAGAGTTACTTAGGTGAAATGAATCATTGTCATATGTCACGTTTAAGTAATGTCATTTTTAAAGCCTTTTAGATATAAGTAATTATAAACTAGGTAAACTTTCGTTTCTATTTCGTTTATTTAATGTTAACAAAGCCTAAGGAAGAGGTACAGTTTTACTTCTCTAAAATATTAGGAAGTATTCTTATCAATACTTATTAATATTATCCTTTTAGTATTAATAAATTTAACTTTGACTCTGGTAAATTCCACATACTCTTTGTATTTATTCGGTAGAATATTTATATAAAAAAACATCTGTTCGAAGTCAATTTGTCCATTTAAAAGATTAAAATATACATAGTTCATAGCTACACAGAATAATTTCGTAAAGTTACTTAAAAATATACGTGTAGGGGTTCACATGTTATATGGAATAAATTTTATATTTAATGTAGGTAGGTAGGTGAAGTAGAAGGAAGATCAAATCCTTCACAATAGCCTAAGAAAACTATGTCGATTCCACATTAGCTGTTATTACAAGGAGAAGGTGCGGTATATCAGAACAAAAAATTTTTTCCCACCTCCATTACATTATAGAATCCAAAAAATTATTCTTAAAAGTTGTATGAAATCACCTGTAACCAATTCTATAAATTTTTTAAAATCAAAATTATATAAGAGGGTTACTGCTTATCTGGAGAGACCTGGACGTTGACGGTTTCTATATTCGTCTTTGCTGCTAAAAGTGATCTGTTTATGAACCGGCATAAGCAGATTGAGATTCTTCTTAAATTTAGAAATTTTTCTGTTCCTTTGTGGAGATTTTTCAACCAGAGATGTCTTAGTATGTGGTAGATTCATTTGGAATGTGAAGTGATATTTGCTATTGCTATTTTATAACTGATAACGCATTGATAAAGTATATGAGAATTTCTATCTATGCTATTATTTTGTCTGTGATGTAATTTTCTTATATAAATATTTCTATTTTAAGTTACATAATTAAATTAAATATTAGTAGACAGTATCTTTATCTGTTATTGTCTACGTGTCTATTGTATTTAAAACTTTTTATTTTGAATATTAATAAATAAAAATAATGTTTAGTTAAATTTATATAGACTAACATCAAAAAATTTTAATAAATAATTGCTATTGTACAATAAAAACCTCAGACTGCAACAGTTCATAATAATTTTAATGATATATATCAGAGAGAACATGTATAACATGACCTTAGAGAGATCTTTTGTACCTGTAGATAGATCTTAATACGAGAAGAACTGGTAATATTGTATCCTATTGGATACCAAAATATCTTTTATTAAATCTTCAAAATAAAATAAAGTTTATGTTGTCGTTATATATCAGATAGAGCATGTATAACATGACCTTAGTGAGGTCTTTTGTACCTGTAGATAGATCTTAATACGAGAAGAACTGATAATGTTGTATCTTATTGGATACTAAAATATCTTTTATCAAATTTTTAAAATGAAATAAAGTTTGTGTTGTCGTTTTTCATATTCATTAAATATAGCTATAAAAAGCATGTGTAATTTTTACACATTATAATCTTCTTTACTTTAATCTTCTTTACTATATTGAACATAACAAAATAGAATTTATCTTATTTATTATGTTTTGAATTTTGTCAATAATTAGTATGAATTAATCTATATTAAAAGTAATAATTATTGTTAGGTAAGGTTGAATCATACATTCTTCATAATAATAAGTAATATTATCTATGGACTTTGATAATAAATATAAGATGATTGAAGAATTATCTAAAGTAGTACTCCTAAAGTTTTAAAAAAGTAGTAATGTGCCAAAATCTGTATGATATAAAAAATTAGTTTTAAAAATTATTTAAGAAAAGTTAGGAGATTCTAAAGTGGGCTTTATCCAAAAATAGCTAGGAATACAAATTGAGTTCCAAATTGTTTAAAAAATAAGAACACAAATTATTTTATTCAAAATAAGTCTGTAAGTATTTTAGTGAGTGTTTTAGACCGTCGGTTGAAATCAATGTGTTGGTATTTGCTTTTTTAATGTCCTTTATGATGAGCACGGGTCATCATAAAGGACTGATTTATTCAAAATAGTCTCCTTCAAATTCAATTCAGAGATTTGCATTGTTTACAAATTTGTCTATTGCATGTGTTACACCATTCATTGAGATCAGGATGTGGATACAAGTTTTTCGAGGACTATTAAGGTCAATTATAGGTATTGGTTGTTATAATCGATACATGTATTTGCCTATATATGACCTCATTACAAGTACTGAGTTTAAAAAATTGCTGTTTACTCTCGAATCTAACTTCTATATATTTTAGATATACGTATGTATATTTTAAAAAAATATTTTGTATTTATTATTTTCGGATAATGTCTAATAAAATAATAATAATAATGTTTATAAATGTTAATGTTTAATAAAATTTATATTATGTGCACTCTAATTTTTGTACTTAAATGCATATATTATTATAATGGTTTTTATATATTATATGTGACAGAGTCATCTATATTGCAATATAGACGATAGTATAAAGAGGATGACGTAGATATAGTTTTAGTAATATTAATTTATGTTAGATCGTGATCCTGATGATGACTCTCAAAGAGAGTCGAAATATAGAATGGAAAATATTAAACATTGAATTATTTCACAAAAAGTAAAACCATTAAAAAAAAACAGGTTGATAAATAAATACCAAAAATTTCATATATTATATTATTATTATATATTACTTATATTTTTTATACTAACCCTACTAAATTTAAGTTTCAGTAAAGCTTATTACTGTGTATTTTTACTAAACCCTATAACCATATTGAGATTATAATTAATGTCGTCATTAGTTATTAAATGATATTGTTTGTGATGCCGCACTTTTGTTTTTGTTGGTCTATTCTCTATGAAATTAATTGAATTAAGTGAAACGTCCGTTTCAATATTTAATATTTATTTATAAACGGTTTTTTTTAAATTGTAGTTTAATGACAGCATTCCGTATTTCATGAGCAGAGCAGACTAACACATTGATCTTGATCCACATAAAAATGTTCGAGGTCCGAGTACATCAGCCTTGATTTTCACACGTTCAGTTATTTCAATGTGAAAAGTTTTCAAAGCTTTTTCTCGCATTCTCGCTACTCACTATTTCACGCTCAGTGCAAACTTAATTTTAGTAAAAAAATTTATCTATTAAATTGAAATATTTAAGTTTTGATTTGCGTGTCTCTTTTCACTTACAAAATAAACAAATGTGCAATGAACGATAAACGGTGAACGATGCCTTGGGACCGTTTTTGTCACACCTAAAACGCTTTAAAACGCTTTAAAACGCTCTATGTCAAGTTTTTAGATTTCATCGTCAACACTTTTGTCGAGTATTGTCTATTATTGTGTTATGAGGAACTAAATATGTTAGTACGAGTATATAATAAACATGCCAGATACTGCATATATTACCATTATTATATATAATTGTTGCTTAACTTATTTAATTCGAAATATAACTTACAACTAGTGAAGCGATGGTCTGGAACTCGTTTTCATTTGGAATTAATAAGACGCAAATTGCATATTAACTAGTTTATTAACTGCAATAATCAATAATAAAGTTCAATAATTAAATTATAATAATAAATAATTTTATATTCCTAACCGCTCCAACCTCCAACCTCCACTTTCCACCTTCCTTAAGCGTGACTTGTGTAAATAAATAGAAAAAGTTGCTACTTTAAAAAATGCAGTAGCACGAAATGAAATTCTCTATTACCGTCGTCTCTATTCCGTCTCCTACGTCTACTAGAGCAGAGGGCGCTGCGCACATTGCATTATTAATGGCAATAATTCTCATTTGTCTCACAGTTTTGTTGGGTGGAAATTGGCTTTTTCTGACGCGAATTGTTAGTAATATTTTTGCATTGTTTTGCAATATTGCAGTATTCGCTCCGAATTTGCATTATCGTTTCCGACAGCTGCTCAGATTTAGTTTATAACAAACGAAAGTCCAATCTAATTGAATAAATCTAACAGAAGCGAAAATAGAAACATATGATTTCTTATCACTGCTCTTATCAATCTGAAGTAGCTTCTCAATGGAGAGTACTCCGGTATATTTGCTTTGTTTTGTTATAGGCCGTTTCAGTGTTTTGTTGTGCTTGGTTAATCTATAGTGAAGTGCTATTGATTATATAAGTGAATTTCTACAATGTTTACGTTCCGATGGTTTCGGTTTAAGTTAAATATTTGCTCAATGCAGAAGGTAAAAAATTAAGAAAGAAAGTTTAGTGAAATTTATTAACAGAGCAATTAAAAATATAATTTAAATCAAGATGCGAAAATTATTTTTGTAAGTTTTATCATTTTTACGTTTTATCATTTAATACGTTTAAAGAATCCAAATTTATCTTTCCTCGTTTTCTTTTTACGAAACATAAATTTAATGGAAAATTCTCAATACTTTATGCTTAAAGTGAATATTTTATTTTTTATCAAATTTTTAATAAAAAGTTTGTGAAACCTTGTTTTAATAAATAATAATTTCATTCAAATAAAAAAAACAGTCTACAAAGAACTTGACAATTATTAAGTACAAATCATCGCCATGAAATTCTTTGATAATGAGATAAATACATCCAATGCAGTTTTTATGATCCAAAATATTATGACAGAATTACTTAAGCTATTTCCTGAATCGTTTTTTAATTTAATATTATAAATTCTTGTGGTGAATAAACCTCTGCCATGTAACATATATCCTACCCTGGATTTTCCGTAGGAATAGTTTAAAAATATTTTAGATATGAATATTTGAAAACATTTTACAGATATGTTAGTTAAGGTATTGATAGTTCCAAAAGTTAGGGTTATCTACTTTATGCCCTGGACTTTACGCAGAAATGTTATGAAAAATATTTTCAATATAACATATATACACATATGTTGGTTAAGGTATTGATGATGTCGAGAGGTGACTATAGGATTATTTACTTTGTACCCTGAATATCATCAAGAAGGTAAATGAAAAACATTAAGGATATACATACATGTATATGTTACATACATATATATCTGAAATTTAACAAATAAAAATAAAAATATAATTAATTAATTCAATTATTCTACAGCCGTTTATTAATTTTTTCTAATATAAAAACAGCAAGTGAATTTGTTAATAAAACTTTGACAGCAAATTAACAAAATTCTAGAAAAATGTGAGAACATAAAAGTCTAGTACGGCTTTGGATTAGTTGATTAAGAAGCGCTGACTCTGAGCTTCAAATTTGGCTGGGCACGAGTACAATCTCTGGTACTTCAAGTCTCAATAGAATTATTTACGAATAATTAAATACAAGAAATATTTCCAAGACCACTGATGATGGGTATTTAGCAATACTCGAAACAGCTATATGGTCAGCCAAAAATTCAATTAATTAAAATAACCTGTGTTGTAGCTCACAACTGTGTTCGAAACTTCTCTATTAAATAAAATAGTTTCTGTTAAAGTAAAAATAGTCACTTCTGTCATATTGATATTAAAATCAAATTTAATATATATGTTAAGGCAATACTGATATCAACTATTGACAATATATCATATTGAAGTACAGAGTTATCCGCTTTATTGTTTTAAAAATACATGGAAATAAAACACACTTGTGATTAAGATTTCGATCAAATTTTGTTTCAATATATTATTTGTACCTTTCCATACAACATCACTCAAATGCATGGATGGAATAATTTAGATTACTGAATTTTTTAGAGATAATTGTCGATGACTTGTAAGCATATAACTTTTAGATAACTTATAGCCCATAACCTCGTAGATGTTCGTTTTCAAAGCATTGAGAGTTAAAGAATTGTCCGCATATACGGTATTATTTGCGTAATCCCACAACAAAAGTTATGTGGAAATCGCAGGATCTTTGTGGCCAACACATATCGCCCATAAGTGAAATCACACGTTCGGAAAATTTCTCCTTAAAACAAGTAAAAGCTGGATATGATGTGTTGATTGTGACCTGTGTTGTCGAAACCATGTACCCTCTACATTTATATTTTTAATTTCATGCTAAAAAATTTAGTTATAATGTCGATGTAGTGATCAGAATTAACAGTTTGTGTCACACTTAGTGATTTTCAGACCAAATGACATACTTTTAGACCAAATGCGACACCATATGGTAACTATTTCAGGATTCAATGGTGTTTTGACAGTTGCTTCTAGGTTTTCATTGCCCAGATGCTAAGGTTGTCCACTCACCTTCAAATTGGTCTCATCACTGAACGAAATAAATGATTATTTTTGTAGTAAGTTTTTAGTATTTTACCACGTTCTGCGATTGATAAAAGATCGATGTTGTAAAATGACAAACCTTATGCTAAATCTATGATGCTTTGGGTAACAGTTTTGATGAACTTATGAGTTAAGAATATTACGAAATAAGGAGCACAAAATGAGCAACTCTTTATATATGCTATGTCTTAAAAAACCTCATAATAGATATCTGCTGTTATCAAGATAAAATATACGGATCGATATCCTAAAAGTGTAATGTAAAGTGTCCGAAGTAAAGTTCATAATGAAATGAGGGCCCTACTATGGTTATAATAATTTTAATATAATGACATTTTTTGTTTTCATAAATAATCGATACTATGTAATATTATTCATAGAATCTTTTTGCCCGTAAGTTACTATAAATATTGATGCTTGGGAGTCCCACCCATGTCTCCTTTCCTGACTACGCCCATTTTTATCAATAATTTTTCTTTTGAATTCATATTAAATTTATATTTTTCATACACTTAATTTCAGTAATTGTATGTGAGTATTCTTCAAAGGAGGAATATAAGATGTCTCCTATATTCCATACCTCTAATGGAATACAATTGAGATATGAAGAGATATAACTCTATATCTCTCAAAATATTCTTTATAATCACGGAAGAGGATTTATTTAATTCGCAAATTTCTAAACATATGGATATATATTCAATTTTTTCAAATGCATACGGATTTTAAAATCATATTTATTTTACACATCCACTCACCTACTGCATCTCTACTATGCATATTTGAGAGTTGATGATAATAAGTCCATTTTATTGGATATTGGCTACTATTACATCTGTTAATTCAATTTTAGTAAAATATGGTATGTGAATATTAGAACTTAGTATGGTCAATTCTATTGGAAAAGCTCTAAAGCTTTCCCGAAAGAGTTAGTTCACGTTACTACTATCTTAACACCACAGATTCATAAAAATTGTTTAATTATAAATGCAATAAAAAATATTGATTTATATGAATCAATATAAATCATATTTTTTATAGTACTATTGATAAATTATAAATATAGATTATATAGATTAATATTTTCATTAAAAGGAAGAATAATTAATGTTTCTGTGTGGTCGTTTGGAATTATTCAAAAATCTAGGTATTGCACTTTAAATTTAGGTATCGTTATATATTAATGAATATCGTTATATATTAAAATAGATATATCTACAATTGTACAATTATGATTATGCTAATATCAATAATTTCATGCACACATATGTCACAACAAAGTTTAATCTATAATATTTCTATTGAAACGATTCTCTTGGAGTTTATCCAAATTAAAAAATATTTGAATAATGTCAATAATATGTGTTTAAAAAAATTAATCTTAACAATATCCTGTATCTCCCATTGCAGTATAGGGCCTCAATCTTAATATATAATATAATATAATGTATATCCAAATCTATTTCAATGATTAACATTGTCTCATCATTATTGCTTTTATTATGACTATCAATAGTTTCTATAAATTATTAAAAATCAATTGAACCATTCCGTGAGGCGCTATTTTTTTTTTGTTTCTGATCCAATAATTACAATAATAAAGTGAAGAATTAGGTATACGATGGCAAGTTAATAGTCGTAAAAAACCTATTTTCTGCTTGATCTTTCTCAACCCAATGACTTTCTGACTTTTTCAAGCCGTCCTATTTGGACTAGCTATTCAAGCTATTTTATTCAATTCTTCAAAATAAGCCTCTGTGATGTCGATTCCATGGTCTATGGTGGTGAGCCTCTTAAGATTTGAGTATAGGATATTATTAGATGGGACTAAATTTAGTGAATCTATTCATAACTAAATTAATGTAATTTTACCATTGTGTGTATCTATGTGTACATCATTACTTTCTATTAAAAGAACTGTCGTTCTTTCTTGACCACACAGTGATAGTTTTCTTTAAAAATGTTTTTGAAGTTATCCAATAAAACTATGCAGTAAAAGCCTTTATATGCTTGCTTTAACACAAGGTATTAAGTACAGAATATAATGCCTGCATTCCGTCTTTATCGCAACTACTTCCTTAACTGTAGTTCTGTGACTGTTTCTCTATTTCGTTTTTATAGTAATAGGTTATAGTTACGGCGATAGTAATGAGTCAATGCAGAAATTCCGCTGGATTTCGTTATACTATCTGCAAACATTATTCTGAAATCGTCATATGGACATACTTATGGTGCACAATGAGCAAATGTAGTACCCATTTTTCTGCTAGCTTATTCCATAAATAAATTTGAGTTTTATTTTTTGAAAATAAATATATTTAGATCCGGTATTTTTCGCAAACTGGGTTAAATCAATTGGTATTTCACCATCGATATTTTTTAACTACTGGTTAAGAATCTGTGGTTAACTATTTGCATATTTGTTTTATTTATTAAAAATAAATATATTTAGACCCGGTCTTTTTCGCACACGGGGTTAAATCAATGGGTATTTCACCATCGATGTTTTTTAACCACTGGTTAAGAATCTGTGGTAAACTATTTGCATATATTCACACCATCTTCTTTGACTTGACAAACATACGAGTTTTAATTAAGTATTGTGAAGAAATCATGTAAGTGATTGGATAATACAAACTACAGGAACTAAACGTTTTTGTTGGATTTTGTAATAATTATTTCCGAGTGGTAATTTATGTTAACATTTCTTACGATATTTTTTCAATTTTATACTTTATGCGATATAGATTGTGATGCGATACAAAAGACTTTTATGAAACGAAAAGAAGTTTGCAATATGTGTATGTACGGTAATATATCTCGTAGTAAACATTTCATAAGTTGATTTATAATATTTAAAATTAACAATTAAGTTAAGTAACTTAGGACAATACTAGCTCTTCTATAACTCTTACCATTATTCATGGTTGTTGCGATGACTGATACACAGAACTACATACGATAAGGCAGAATACATGTTTGTAGGTTATGAATGCATTGATCACTGCGTCTGATTAACCAATCCATTTGTGCAATGGATGTCGAAGAAGAAATAATTTTTACACTGAATAGTCCAACTAATTAATTAAAAATGAATCAATGGAAAACTACTTGCTCGGTACTTACGAGTCTTAGTAATACTTGATCATATAATTAAATAGTGGTAATTAAATTGCAATGCTAGAGTGCTTAAGCTAAGCTTTATTGATACAAAGTTCATTTGTACTCTATATAATTTCAATAAAATAGAGTTTTTGATATTTTTCTCACAAAAGTAAGTACTATGAAACGAAAATTGTTGATGAAAAAAAAAATTCAAATAGAGTTAAATCTTAACATATATGTAGTATGTTTATAATTCTTAATTGAGCCTGCGTCCATTTAGGTAATGTGTAATTAGATTGTTGTTAATTATTTGATATAGGTATTATATTAGATATAGGTTATTTGATATAGTATATAAAATACATAATGAAATCTCGTTTTTCTCGTTTCTATCAAGTAATGATAAAAATGAATAATAATAATGAACTTCATAAAAATTTCATCGATATTTATTTCTGTTGAGAAAACATGATATTATTGATATTATAATCATTGGTGTAAAATCCAACTTCAATTTTATTTGTTCCAAATATGATTTGCTGTAATTACTCGTTAATTTCACTGACTGGCTCTGGAACTAGGTCCAATTGGCATCTATAACAGGATGGAATTTCACAGTACGCAAACCTATCGAACCAAGCAGATTTCCCCATCAAAATTGATTAGATATAGTAGAGCAATAGAGATTAAAATAATAACAAAATCAACATATGCGTGTTACAGAAGCGTTTATCTCATTCATTTATCAATATATTCGTAATATGTATTTTATTGTTATTAAAAACAAAAAAAATGGATTTCTTTTTTCTAAATAAATTTCTCCGATACTGTAACAATTCTGATATATTCTGTTTTTATATTTTAACTAGAAGTTTTAGTAATAGAAAGTTGGGAACATAGTCAAGTTTTAAAAATAATAATGGAAAAATAAATAACAGAAGAGTAATTACCAAAATAATACCAATAAAAATGTTTCTTTCTACAAATAACATATCTATTCGATTAACATAATTTGAATTAGAAAACTGAAAAAAAACGTTCTAAAAAGTAATATTAAGTACATGAGAAAGATATTCGAAATTTTTATTTAATCCTTTCATGCTTATTATAACAAATCTAGTGAACTGAGAAAGACTTTGACTTTGACAAAATTTTGTAGTACATTTACGTCGTTGGCACTTTCCTTGTTATACCACTGTGATCAGGTTAATGTACTGTGATCACGAAATGCACAGACTGCGCGACCTAAACCCATGTATATATGCTTGCAATGAAATAATAAAGGGCAAAAACAGCTGTTTTGACATTTGTTGCTTCGCATGTGCATGTGGTATCCCGCAAAAACAGCTGTTTCATTTCGATGTTGTAATTCTGAACAGAGGTGTTCTCGCACTTTTGCAATTTTAGTATAACATACGTGCCCCTTGCAAGGACTTTGCAAGAGAGTGAATATCCCTATTGTATTTTCTAGTAATTAATCATATAATAAAAACATAATCATATAATATTTATCATTATAAATGTATGTAATATATATTATATTTTATTTTTATACGTTGTTACTAGGATAGTGTGTCAAATAGAGTACTGTAGACAAAAATCGTTTAAGGCTTTCCTTCGCTAAACACTTTTTTTCCAAACTTTTTTAAAAACTTTTGTCCTCGAAGTAATCGAGTTTCTCAAAATAGGCTTTAATATTCATTATTTATATTAAATCTGTGAATTGTGACTACAGCAAGATAATAGGTATGTTCCACGAGTTACTCGTAGTAAAACTCAAGTAAAACACAAGTAAAATTTACACGAAAATTTGCTGGTGGAACGCACTTGTGTATACACAGTGTAATTCAAAGTAACTACGAGTAGCTCGTGGAATAGACCTAATGTGGGAGATGACAACACAATTCGGCGTCTACTTTATGAAATATTGTTGTCATACCCATATATCTCCACTAAAGACATATTTACACATTTGTATTGTCTTGATAGAAAACAATGCGAATAGGTCTTATAGTATCATCCTGTTTGTAGACAGACCATCATTTTTTTAACAAATATGTCAATTTATTTTAAAATTATTATGTATTGTTGTAAAAGCAACGGTTGTTCTTGACATCTTCCAGAAATCTTTTTCTCTTCCAATTGATTGTGTGTAAATCAAAGCACTAAGCCATATTTTTAAACTTCAATGATTTAAGCATTTTGTATGTAATGATCTTATTTGGACATTTGGAAGCTCTAATAGTGTTTCTCTAGTCTTTCTTCGGTTTGTGTTTGGATATATTAATTGGTTAGTTTGTAGCCAGCAATGGTCGCTCCATTTAGTATTGATTTACAGCGGTGATATCTTAGTTATGATATTGAAATATTGTATTCCGATTTTTTATTATTATCATTAAGCATAAATGCAATTTTATTCAATTGAGTTTAAGACTTTTTGTTTTAAATAATATAAAATTTGAGCAATTTTCAAACATTATTTTTCGTAAAAAATTATAAATTAAAATAAAAAACGAGTTCAAAAAATTAATAAGAAATTATAAAAAAAATTTAAAAAGCATTAATAACAAATTTAATAAAAAATTATATAGTATCATGGCCGACATAACAACAACGCAAACGGGAATTCGTTCAAAATTGGGTGATTTAGTTGATAATAGTTCGACGGCACTTAATGAAGCAACCGAAGTAACGAGAGGACTGCGTAATGTGGTCGGATGGTTAAAACAGGTTCTCAAAATTTAAAATTTTTTTATTTATAAAAGACTGAGAACTCAGGGTCCATGTAAACAGCATATCAAGGATAATAGATTTAAGTGAAGCATTTTCCTTGAGCTAATTTTACTTTGGCACTGAGTATCTCTGAGAATCGATGTTGTCTATAATTGTTGTGTTCTTCTTAAGTTCTTTGAATTCCCACTTTGTTTCTGAAATATACAGTATTTTTATTTTCATTTCTAAGCACAAGAGTAAACCATATTCCCAACTGATTTTATTTACAACTTTTTTGCTAAAAATTTATGTTAAGTGAAACATTTTACACAAATTAACTTCTACCTGTAATTGCTTTTTAAAAAAAAATGCTTTAGAAGCTATGGCTGAGACCCAATGAAAAATTAATTTATGTTATTTTTGTGACAGGCTTCGATTGAAGTACGCGAAGCTGGAAGGCGTGCAGTTTCACAAATCCAGAGCTCGAATCCGAATTTCTTATCTCATGAATTTGAGATTGATGACTTAGACTTACAGATTGATGACAATCAGTACGATACTAAATCTCTTTCACACCAGGACTTACAACGACCCTTCCGCTCATCATCCATTAGTCAACCACAGAGTCCACGAGCCAGAGGACGAGGAATTGATAACTTTACTGCTGGTTACCATCGCTCAACATCTATTATTTCGCAGTTGGAAAAGTCGAAAGCTTTATTAAAAATGTCGGATCAAAATAACATGAGACCACTAACAATACTCCATTTCAACGATGTTTACAATATAGATTCTATCACCGCTGTAGAGCCTATCGGCGGTGCTGCTCGATTTTCTACGGCTATTCGATCTTTTGCAGATCAAGACCCATTAATTCTCTTCAGTGGAGATATTTTTTCACCAAGTGTGCGTAAGTTACTCTAGATTTCTTTATATAGTCTACTTTTGTTTTTTCTGAAACCTAAACATTTTTAGTTAGCATATTTACACAAGGTGAACAAATGGTACCGGTGCTTAACAGGCTTGGAACACATTGCGCAGTGTTTGGAAACCATGACTTTGGTATGTTATTAAATAAAATTCATCAATAAAAATTAAAATTAAAATTCAAAAAATTATAGATCATGGCCTAGACGTTTTGGTTGAGCTCATCAAAAAGACAAATTTTCCTTGGCTTATGTCAAATGTCGTTGACAATGAGACTGGTCGACCGCTTGGTGGTGGTAAAATTTCACATTTCATTTTTCACAATCAAATCTCGATTGGCTTGATTGGATTGGTCGAAAAAGAATGGCTTGAAACGCTTCCAACAATCGATCCAAAAGAAGTAACTTACATCGATTATGTTGAGGCAGGTAATAAATTGGCACAAGAATTACGTAACGAGGGATGTGAGATTATCATTGCACTAACACATATGCGAACTCCAAATGATATAAACTTGGCAAAAAACTGTACAGATATTGACATAATATTGGGTGGTCATGATCACGTTTATGAAGTTAAAGAAGTTAACGGCATCAAAATAATTAAATCAGGCACAGATTTTAAGCAGTTCTCAAAAATAACCATTGACAAAGATCGAGATAAGAGTACCGGAAAATTGAAAGTACAAATCGAACCTGTAGATGTTACAAAAGCTTACGAAGAGGATCAGGAGTTGAACGAAGTACTAAGCAAATATTCGGGTTTGTCTATGAACTAACAGCCAATAGAATGCAAAGTCTTATTAATTATTTTTATTGAATAGATGTGATCGAAACTAAAATGACAGAAGTGCTAGGAAATTTCAGTGTTGAATTGGATGGTCGGTTTTCTTCCATACGCACACAAGAGACGAATTTGGGTGATTGGGTTTGTGATGTTGTACTAGCTGCTACTGGTGCTGAAGTGGTTATTATTAATTCTGGAACATTTCGCTCTGATCAAGTGCATCCTCCAGGCCCATTTACGATGCGAGATTTAGTAAATATAATACCAATGCGAGATCCACTTATATTATTGGAAATAACTGGTAAATGTTTGTGGAGCGCATTAGAAAACTCAGTATCTGCATATCCAAAACTAGAAGGCAGATTTCCACAAGTAAGATAACTATTACAATTCGTTTTCAGTTGTTGCTTAATATAATTTTATCAGGTCTCTGGATTGGTATTTGCCTTCGATCCTGCAAAGCCACCTGGACAACGAATTGATCCACAATTAATACAAGTTGCTGACGAGTACCTGAATTTAGAACAACACTACAAGATTTGTATAAAGAGCTATCTTTACAATGGTTGTGACGGTTTCACTATGTTCAAAGATGCAAAGGTTTTGGTAAGACTGCTGTTTACAGCGCATTCAAATAATATATGGTCAATATGACATATTTATATATATAGATTTAGAATATGCTTAACGCGATTTGATTTCATATAAATTTAATAGAAAATCATTTTCAGATGGATGATGACTCTTGTCCTGAATTGGGTCTTACAGTTCAAAATCATTTTAAGGCCATTAACTTGCGTACAGGAAAAGGTGGTCATCAAACCAAACATAGACAGTCATTGGTGACATTATCCCGACGTCATAGTATGGTACAAATGTTGGACAACTTGGACTTAGATGGTCCTTCGCCAATACGAAAACTTTCTTCAGGTCATATGACGAAATCAATCGATCTTACAAACACAAATGCAGCAAAGGTTTTTAAGAAAATTATTATTTTTCTTTTATATGTTAATTAATGATTAAATATTATTTAAATAGATGTTACGCCGTGCTTCATTAGATGACCTAGAACAAGCAAGTTGTCAGCTGGCTCCTAAAATTCAGCATAGAATAATACGCATTCAGAACGAAGAGGTGAGATTTGTAGCTGTTTTTGATATAAAAATAGCTTTATTTTGCTATTAAAGTGGATACATCTAAGTAATTTATATATCAACTAAAACGCTCTATCATTTTCATACAGTTGTTTTAATAAAAATTAAACTCTAAAGGACCAAAGTCCTCCCAAAGCATTAGATATGTATTTTTAACATATCTTTTCGCATATAATAATTTCGTAAATTAATAACACATATTATAAGTATATATAGATCTTATATAAAAATAATATTAATATATATAAATTATATTTTTAGCACTATCAACAGTTACTGATGAGAAAGGAGACATCCATAAAAAATGCTACCATAACAGAGGCGGAAGATGAATAAAGCCCGCACAAATATTTTCTACTATTAAGAAATAAACTGGTTAAACCATGGAACTATATCAGGACGCATAAAAAACATTATTTATTAAATATTGTTAATATTTCCTATTCTCATACATCTACATATACAATTTTTAGTAATATTATAGGTTATGTTCGTATTTTCTATTAAAATACTAAATTAAATTAAATTAAATTAAATTAAATTAAATTAAATTAAATTTAAATTTAAACACTAATTAAAACTAATTTAAATTTTAAAAGCACTTTAATTAAAAATTAAATTAAAACTTTTATGTGTTAAAAACTGAAAGCTTTAAGTATATTATGATATAGTTATAAAATCTTAAAATGAACAATTATATATACAAGTACACACATATTTAGTATAACCATATACATATAACCATTTACATATTTACTGTAAAATTGCTTTTAAATGAATGTGTCAATGCACCAAAGAAAGTAAACTTATAAAGGTAACAAAAAGCAATACTTTAAGAGAGAAACGTAAGAAAATGAAAAAGACTTATTCAGATATTGAAGGATCGTAGATATTTTAATAGATAAAATTTTTGTAATACGAAAACTAACCATGGCACATCTCGTTCTATATTCTAGTAAATATGGACGCGAATGTGGTCCAATATAAGTCCATTAATGTTGAAATGTCCAAGACGAAACTACAGCAAAGTTAACTAATTAAGCATAGAAACTATTTTAAACATCATAAAGCCACAATTTTTTTTTAGAACAAATTAAATGACAGATATAATGTAGAAATATACATTCACTTCCATATAATTACGTAGTTATACATGTTTTCATTAATAAATTCATCTTAGCATATGATAATTCCTCCAGTCATAAGGCAAGCATTATAGTTTTATAAGTTTTAATTTTATATTATGCTAAGACTTAAAGTATTTAATTTATATGTTTTATACAACAGGTGCCTATTCCTTAAGAAATATTTTTTAATTAAATTGTTTTGTTAATAAAAGAAAAAGTGAATAACGAAGTGGTTATTAAACTATTTTGTTCTCTAATCTAATTAAAATATTATAATTATATGTACAATTACAAATTTTAATCAAATATATATTATATGATATTAATAAATATTTAACCAAATCAATCAAAGTGGCTTTTATTTACAATGGTAGTAAAATTGTAATTTTTAAAAATTACAATTTAATTTCAATAAATTAACTAAATTTTTCTTTTTGTTCTTTCTTTGCTATTCGAACCCTTCTAACTTAAAAAAATAGCTACTTGGTGGTTGTGATAAGAAGCGTAGCTTTCGACAAAAATAATTAACTTTACAATTTAATTGTAATTTAAATTAAAATTAACAAAAAATTTTTTTTTAAATATTTCTTCAAAATGTAATAAATATATAATAATATAAAATAATATACATAAGAAAGATTAAATATTTTCGACGAAATGGACAACAATACCAATTCAACATCAAACGAGTTAAAGGTTCGTCGAAACTCAACGAATTAAATAGATTTGAGCGTCTTATCGTACCAGCAAATCATTTAGAAGCTTAAACTATATAAACTAAACTACTTAAACTACATCTAAATCATCACACATTCCCAGTGTGTTACTAACAGGTCCACCTATAAAATAGAATAGATCTGATGATTGGCATCAACTCGAATAAACATTATGTATACTTATGTATATACGAGTGTGCTTTGATAAGTCAGTGACTTTTTGAATAAAACAAATTTTTTTCAGCAAATAAACATTTTATTTTTCTACATAATCACCTTTTAGCTCGATACATTTAGTCCAGCGTTTTTATAATTTTCTTATTCCCTCCAAATAATAGGTATTCTCAAAGCTCTCGACTCAAATCTCTTACCGAACAGTCATTTCTTTAGGTTTGGAAATAGAAAATAGTCGCAGGGGACTAAGTCTGAAGAATATGCTGGATGGGGTTTGTCTCCCAATTCGTGGATTTTGGCCACGAATGCTTAATCAGCACACGAAATTTACTTTTTTCCATTTTTGTAAAAATTCACGAGGTTGTCTGCTTTCAACGGCTATCAAACACTAACTGAACGATGTAGCTTGCTCAAAATTAGAAAGTTGCCCACTGGTGGATTACAGCTGAGTAACTGCACGGGAAATTCAAAAAGTCACTGACTTATATGTAATTATATATATATATAAATAATATATACTGATATAATATATAATTAAATATTTATATAATTTATATAAATAATAAGTAATAAAAGAAATAAGCATTTAATAATATAATAATAAAAATTTTATTCAAAATAATTGTATTATTTTTCTATCAAATACTTTCTATGTAATCCAGAAACTTTTAAATATTTATTGAAACGGTTTTTTCAAAAGGTTGATTTTATGTAAATTCCCTTTTTAAGTGGGAAGAAAGGGTATTTAGAAAGACAAAAATATATATACTACTATATATTCGCAGCAGGTTTCCTGAAAACATGAAATTTCTATCTCTCAAAATAAAAACTTTTGTGAGTCCCTTAAAACCTCAATTTTTGAATTTTAACTCGTCTTTTCCATCAAAAAGTGGGATTTTCAAATATTCCTTAAAACGGTATTTTCTTACAGGTCAATTTTAATAAAACTCTTTTTTATGATAGAAGCAAGAGAATTTAGAGGAGCATATCTGAGACAAAAATGTTTATCTAGTTATTTGTAGCAAATTTGCTAAACACATGAAAGTCTTATCCCTCAAAATAAAATTTTTTAATAACCCTTTAAAACCAATTATTTTAACCAATTATTGTTAGAGACTCAGATATATAAGGTAAAAAGTGGTTGCAAATTTGAGCTCACCAAACTCATATTAATCTAATACCACCGATAAATTATTATTATTAATTGTTGCAGAGTGTGATAAATTGTTTATTAATTAGTTTATAATTGAATTTATAATCGAAATTGACAAATCGAAGATATAACGTTTAAGACCCATTTTTAGATACAAATTCGGTTCATTGAGGGGAAGTACGACAATCAGAAAACGTACAATTAGTTCGTGAGTGAGGCTTCCGATTGTTTATGAAATGTTCTGTAACAATGACGGGGCTAATCCAACAGCGGTGATCGGTGACATAAGCATTACGAGGCTGTTTTTTATATTATTGCTAATCAAATTATACTAAATAAAGTAAAAACTTGCATTATTAAAGATAGGCGAAAAGAAATTATTTTTTACTTATAGAATTACTATTGCATTTTATAGAATTAATGTATTAAGATTTGTATATTAACATAACTAATTATATACAATATAATTCAACATTTAGTTCAACATGATTAAATAAAATTATTTTTCCTCGTCTAAATATACATATTTAAATTTTAATTAATATGTAAAACGTTTTTGCGGGGCCATTGTGATTGCGATATTGTCAGAGGTCACTGACGCCTAATTTCTCCAATGTTCCACAATAACAACAATCACAAACAGTTTCAAATCTTAATTTTATATACTTTTAATATATGATATTCGATTAGATTTTACATTAATTACGAAATACTATTATAATAAATATAATAAATAACAGTTCCAAACGTATAAACTACTGAAACTCATATTTGGGGACTTAACTCAACTGTATCTAACTCAACAAATTCCTCAAAATAGAAACTTAGATATAGGAATTTAGTGTTAATCATTTCTTCTATGATTTCATTCTAATTACTTCTCCAGAAATTTTTATTGGTGACATCAAATTTAGTGAGTTTTGTAGTTTCGCATTACTTTTTGTTGAACTTAGGATTATTATTATTAATTGGGAGAGATCTCACATTGGTAACTAAAGATCTATTGTGTCCTCATTATTCTTCAATTTTCCGACTTTTTTTCATCATCTCATATGAGATGTCCATTTGAATTATTTTTCTAAACTTGCATTGTATGATATCAGATCAACGAATGATATCATATATCATACGAATGAGCATATGAACTAAACAGAACTAGTCGGATTGTATAGTCAATTACAGATTTGAAGCATATATTACGAATAGTTTCCTATGACATAATGCTTTGCACGGCTATTGCACAGGGTTCGAAATTCACTAAAACATTTTGTGGAAACACTAACTTTCCACAACGGAATTAAAGGTCATTTAGAGTTGTTAATACCTATTTAGGGATTAATTTTGATACAGTAGAACATTAACATTGAGTAAACACATAGTTAGGTTCAGTTTCAATAGCAGCTTTGTTACACCGCAGATTAGGGCTGTTCATACGCAGACCACAGAGGCCTCCCAAAGGACCGTAGTGGTCAGTGTATTAACAACGCTGAAAGGCACAACCTCTCCAATTCGAATGAAAGAAATTGATAAATCTCTAAATTTTTACAATTCCACAATTTGTCAGAACAGTGAGAACAGGGATCCTGAAAATTTTTAATCTTCTATTGGCTAAAGATGTGCATTGACGAAGTAGACGAGTAGACGAAGTCTTCTAGCATGTTTTCCTAGTACTGAACAGTTCCATTTTAGTTGAAACAGCTGACTGGTACATTTTTTGTCCAGTTTAGACCACGTAGATTTTCGGACCTGGCAGGTTTTTTTAGAAGTATGTAAAAACAGAAAACTCTAAGCTGTTAAGCTATAGTGGCTTTTCAACATAAAATTCTCTTTAAGACTAGACTTTAAAGTTCTCCTAATAACAGCATGTTCTCATCAATTTGGTCTTATTGTATTCAATGTATGGCAATGCAAATTCTTCAAATTTATTATTTACCCTATATTCTGCAAAGGCTCAGTCAAATATATTAAGAGTAGACACTAAAGATGTTCAAGTAGCTATGTTTAAATTAGAATTTTGGGCATAGGCACATTTAAAATTAGGCAGAAATACGTCCATAGAAAAAGGATAACACACGTTAACTCTTTAGCTAGAAAAACTTACTTTTACATAGTATATTTGCGACCTAAAAGATCGTACCGACGTGCCATTAGTCAAAACTAAACTTTCTTATTACTGATAATTATTGTCCGCTACACTCTTTTCCTTGTTCCCTTTACTGATGCCTGATCTGTCTGCCAAAGGATATATAATCATTACACTACGTATTCATAGAGCATATATTTTTTATTTTTTCTAACTTAATTATAT